AGACAGTGCCTGGCTAAGGGTTGACCAACATAGCATTAGCACTACCCAAGCGGACAGTGACAAGTGCGTAAGTGGCTGTCCCAGAATAAACCAGTCAGTGTCCAGCTATACAGGATGTGGCAGGTGCACAGAAGGGTCCCAGCCCAACCTGGGATGAGGCTGGGGAAGGGCCTGGTCATGCCAGGGCAGGCTTCCTACCACCCTAGCTGAACTGTAACATGCCCTCCGCGGCTCCACCCTGACCCCAGCACCTAACACACAGTGTACACCGACTACACTCTAGGTTCCCAAAGTGGCATCCCCAGATCAGCAGCATAAGAAACACCTGAGACGTTGTTAGACATGCAAATCCTGGACGCTGCTGAATCAGGAACTCTGTGGGTGGGACCCAGCAATGTGTTTAATGCTTCCTGAAGGTGACTCCATCTCACACACTTACCAATCTACAAATATGTCAAAGCTGGAATGGGGAGAGGGGCAAAGCAGTGGGGACTTGCTCACACCTAGGGACCAGTGGCCCAATCCTCAGGAGGGACTGAAAGAAGAATGGAGAAGCTAGTGGCTCATGGTGAGAACTATTCCTGGGACTGGAATCCAGGACATCATACAGAGGCGTGGCTTTCCTTGCCCTCTCTGCTTCTCCCTGCTGGGCATACTGGGAATGAGCTTTGTAGTGGGTTCTCTGGGCCAAGTACCTCTTTACGCAATACTGTTTTAATTTAAATTTAAAAATTATAAGCCTTCCCTGAACACTGATAACTGTTCTCTCATGTGTGTCCCTTTAGGGATTACAGTATTTTCATCTAGATCTTTTCCCTTGATCATCACAGAGATCCAGTGTGACAAGGAGTGTGATTATCTCCATTTTATGGATGGGAAAATGAAGGCTCGGTGAGACTGAACAGCTGGTGAGTGGTGGGGCTGGCATGTGAATTTGGGATCATATGACTCCTTCCTTCTGGCAACTGGTTCCTGGTTTGCAAGACACTGTCCTGAGCTTTCCAGGACAGAAACATTCGCCAAGGAGCTAGTGGGGAACAGAAAAGTACGTGAATTAATTATGTTGAGTCATGTGTCTGTCTGTCTTCTATCTTTGCCGGGAGGCAGACCTGTCACTGGCTGAACCCAGGACATTGCCTGAAAAGCAGCTTCATTGGAGACAAATTTTCAGATGGTGAGTCAAAAATGAAATAACTTTATTTCTCTAAAGCATCTCAAGGGTGCCCTTCACACTCTCTCCTACCACTCCTCCAGCAAGCACTCTGATCATTTGCTTCTCAGAGGCAATGCAAATCATTAATAGAAGTTAATTTACTGGATTGAAAGGAATTGCCGATCCATCCTATGTGTATGGCCCGATGGGCTCTATGCTGAGGCCTGGCAGTTCTCCTCCCCTCTCTGGGCCTCAGTTTCATGAGATGGACAAGGGGAAATGCGATACCATGGTGTGGGGCCTTTCCCTGAGCTGAGCAGCAGCAGAGCATGACCAACCTGTGGAATGGCTCTGACTGCCTCCATGCAGGGGCAGACCCTCCAGAACTTGGGCTCTTGCAGAATCCTCAGCTGGAACCATTCCAGCCAAGTATCCTACCAGCCACAGACATAAGGAGAATTTGGTGCAAGGGCGATGAAAGGCATGTGACATTTCCTCTGGGCTCTGGGAGGGTGAGGGCTCCAATCATATTTTAGGCAGCATCTTGGATAGCAGCAGGGAACCCCAACATCGACTGGGCTAGGGTTTAGGCTCTGGAGTCGGACCTTGCACGTTCAAATCCCACCTCTGCAGCTCACTGTTACAGGACCCTGGGCAAGCTTCTTCTCCTCTAGGAACCTCAGTTTCCTTATTTGGAGAGGGAGGAATCTAATCTCCCAGACGGTGGCTGGGTGGATGAAATAAGATAATGTACACAGAATGTGCTCAGGGAATGCCAGCACTTCTCTTGTGCAGTTCCCTTTAAGCCTCACTTGGACCATCTGCAGTGGATGCATTTCCTGGGTGCAGAAGCAGAGACTCCTAGGACAGATTCAATCCCTGTCCTCCCCACGGCCCTTCAGAGAAGTGAAGACACCAATATCTGTGCCACCATGAGCCCAGGCCAGCTTCTCTGGGTTGTCTACCCAGGTCCGTGGCCCCTCCCTGCATGGCCACCTCCTGTGCAGGCTACAGCGGTCCAACTCACAATCTTTGCCACAAATCCCAGGGGCTGCCGGTCAAGCCCTGAACACCACCCCACGCTGCCCCTCCTGCCCCACACTGGGCAGGGAGCTCCACAGAGCCTTTGTGTAGGCCTAGAGCTATATATATGGGGGCCAGGCAGGAACACCATTTCTAGACTCATCTCTGACCTTGCAATTTGTTGCTGTAAAGACTCCCAGGGGGATGAGTCAAAGCAGGCCAGGAACTGAGTCCAGCCAGCTCGGGAGGCAGGTGGGAAGGGGCTGACAGCCTGATGGAAGCCATACCACCTTTCTGTGGATGGTGGGGCTACAGCTTGTTCCCTGCAGTGGGCAGTGAATCCCCACTGAGCATCTGTCCTGGGGGCTGGGATCGACAAAGGCCCTATGTATGGGCTGGGACTCTGGCACTGGGTGGGGTGGGGAGGGCGGGGATTTGGTTGAAGCCACCATCAGCTTCCTGGAAGGAAAGCAGGTGGTGAAGGCCCAGGGTTTTTTGGAAAGCTCATGGTATTTCTCACTCACCTAGCCACAGAATTCTTAGAGAGGGAAGAATTTCATCCCAAGAAGCTAGGACCACCTCATACCTGCAACGGCTGTTTTCATGACAATCAGGAAGTGATAATCCAGCCTTCCTGAGCCTGCAGTCCCCAGAGTCTGGCTGAGATGGGAAAGGTCTGACTTCCATGAAGGCCGCTTGGAGGTGCAGAGGGGAGCACCACAGTGTCCCTTTGAGAAGCACCTCTTTTCATGAGCACATGCAGGCCAGCACTTTGAGAGGCAGCAAGCACAGATGGAAGTGCTTCATAGACTGAGCAGATGACATTTGTGATAGCAACTCAGACGCCTTTCCTATTCCTGGGCTCTGACCACCATGCTGGGGTCCTGAAGCATGGGAGCATCCCTGGAGGTGGCTGCAGCCCAACCGGCCATGCTGGGCAAAGTCCTCAGACATCATTTGAGCTTCTGCTTGCAAAATCATTACCATCCCTTTCCACTGCTTGCATTCTCTGCTTCTGCATGGTTAGCCAGGAGGAGGAAACCTGGGCAGTGTTTTCAAATTTCCAAAGGGTATGGAGTGTGAGGGACCCCCAAAAGGCAGAGCAGAGCCCACTAAGGAGGAGTCATAGGTATTTGGGGTCCAGGTGAGTGGTAAGAATTTCAGTTACACTTGGAAGCACGTAATGAGCTTCCCCTCCCTGGGCCAGGAATCGGAAGGGTGCTCCTCACCTGCACTTAGCAGGAGCACAGCCTCTGACGCCAGGGGACAGGGGCTGTCCTTGGATTCCCTCATGGCGAGGGAAGACAGGAGTCATGAAATACAGGGGGAGACCTGACGTGACCAAGGACCTTCAGCCATAGGACGCCTCTCTGCTCTGGCTCTCAGCCAGGTGCTCACAGCCTGCGGGCAAGACTAGCACCTACAGAACCAACTCTAGACGGTGAGAAAAGTGCCACGAGTGTTGAGTGCAGGAAGCTGGAGACGGCCAGACAGGCAGTAAGGAAGCCCATGGATGCACGGCTACACACGAGGGAGGGCTCACAGATGGCACCGTTTGAGCTGCACCTTGAAGGAGGCACAGGATTTTTCCAGATAGGATGTGGCAAGGAGGACAGAAGGAATGGGATCTGCATAGACTTTCCAGGGAACTGTGGGGAGTATGTGCAGGAGCTGCTAGACCACCAGTTGAGGGGACCAGGTTGAGGGTGGGGCAGAGGCCTCACTGTTGGAGACCAGAAAGGGAGGAAGAGTCTAGTTGTGTACGAAAGCGGGGAGATTTCAGACAAAATGAACCTGAAAAATAAAAGTCTCCTTCTAACATGGTAAGAATTAGTTATTCTATGTCTCTCTTTTCACATGGCTAAACTCTTAGATGCATAAGAAATTTTTTCATCTGGCTTTTCACCTCTCCACATTAAACATAAGCATTTCCCTAGGTTGTTATAAACTCCTTGTCAACTTCACTTTTTAGTGGCTGCACATATTCCAGTTAACCAATTCCTATTTCCTAGACATTCAGGTTGTTCCCCGTCATTCAAGATCATAAACAATGCCTTTTCTGAATTCCATAACCTTGGTATGGACCCTCGGGACTGGGATTAGAATCAAAGGGTATGAACATAAACTTAAGACCTCTAATGCATTGTGGCAGGTGGCTTTCCAAAAGGCCTTGGGAGAGGAGTTTACGTACCATGACAGACACCCAGATTTCAGACACCCAGTCTCAGAGTGGGGTGGAGGGGAGGTACCTGAGTCATTCAAGGGGCTCTTGGCTAGGGGAAAGGTCAGCCCTTGAGGTCCAGGATGTGCCCATGGACTGTACTCTGTGAGTGCTAAAGCTGGGAGAACACAGCAGCCCTGGTTGCGTGCCAGCCTATCATAGCCATATGACTGGATGGAAACACTGAGCTCCCTCAGGCCCAATGGGAGCTGCTCAACAGATGGGTTTTCTTTTCTTTTTTAAGAAAGCTGCTTCTGCAATCTGAAATTTTGGCTTCAGTGAGCTAGAGCATCCCCAACAGGACCAAAACAGAGCCAGGCAATGAGATCATCTGGGCTGTCTCTGAATAATGGGGAGACTGGAACTGAGACCCTAGCAGCCAGACCCAGTATTTCCCCTTGGCCTGGCTTCCTTTCCCTCTAAGACTCTCATCATCTATGAGGAGCCTGGCTGTACGAGAAGAGAGCACAGCCCAAGAGCATTATCAGAAGCCCCCTGGCTCACCTGAGCATGCCAGAGACCAGTGCGTTTACTCCCTTTACCAAAGGTGAATGTCAAATACAGATGAGCGGTCACCTCTGAGCAGAGCCACTGAAACCTTACCTGCCAGAGCTGGGATGGTGACCCGGTTCCACTCCCATGGCTGGTCGTACTCATCAGCAGGCCTGTCGTCGTCCTGGGGCAGCTTGCTCTCCCGCAAACGGGGGCTGACTGTGCTCTCTGAGTCCGAGTCAACGCTTTGGCCCTCTGGTTCATAAGGGGTGTCATATAACTGGATGCCTTTGTGATGGGACCGGACACTTTCCTGCCTCTGAAATTCTGCAGGCAAAAAGAAAGGAAGCAGAGATGTAATGAGTGTGCAGCACACACTTCCTCACCTGGGATCTGCCAGGTGACACCCACAGAAGTTCAGAGCCGCCAGCCAAGGAGCTGAGGGCAGCAGAAGAACAGGCCCCCTTTCCGTGTTTGTTCTCCCCCACCCCTTGAAGGCAGTGTCTCTGTTCTCACTAGGCAAGGCTTCCTCACAAAGATCTCAGGTTCTTGGACCTAATGACAGAAGAAACTCTTGGCAGCCATCTGCCTTCTCACTGCAGTCTTCAAGGGCAGGACCCAGAGGTGCACGTGATATTCCAGGTGTGTTCTGACACCAGCTCAGAAGAGCTCTCAGCACCTAGCAATACAGACAAGTGGGGGGTCTTCTCCACTAGGTCTGTTCCCCATCCTGTGGACTTTCATTCCCCATCTGAAAAATGAGGAGATTGGGCCAAGCGATCCTCAAGTTTTCATCAGCTCATATATCCATTTCAAAGGCCTAACAAGCCAAGAGCCTCCTCCCCAGGAGACCCAGGTTCACTGTTTCCTCCCATACAAAGCTCCATCAGCAACCCCTTCCCTATGTTTCTACCTCCCCCAGAACCTGCCTGTCTGCTAACACACTGAGCACATCTCAGGAACTTGAGAGCAGATATGCAGGTTCACTTCTTCTGAGAAGGGAAAGCTCTTAATCCTCGGGAGAGGACACCACTGCCTGGCCCCAGTGTGGGCTGAGGGGTGACTCTGCCGGTCCAGATAAGGCCCCAGATGGAACATTCATTTCAGTGGCTGCTCATCTCCAAGAGGCCAATGGTGGATGGAAGACAGATGCTAGGATGCTGCATTCAGGTGCGTCCTAGTCAAACTAGGACACTTTACCTCCTTTGATCACAAATACAAACTGTGTGCGGGTCTGCATGGGGAAGGGAGGGTTCACTTCAGAGGCTGCTCTCAGGAAGTCCACCGTTTCTAAAAGAGATACAACAGGCACCTAAATCACCATAATACTTACTCTGTGGCAAAGGGGCTCAGTGCAGAGCCTGTGAGGCGTGAGGCAGGAGTAGAGAGAGATGACCTTTGAATTGACAGCTCTGGCAAGTGCAAACAGGAGAGGGATGGCATTGGCTGTGGTAGGACCAGGGCAAGCCAAGACACTGAGGCTATAGAGAACGTGCTCACTGCCTACTTTCTTGCTTTATTGTGTGTGTGTGTGTGTGTGTGTGTGTGAAATACATATATGTATATATATGAAATATAACATTTGCTATTTTAACCATTTTTAAGTATACAATTCAGTGGCATTAAGTATATTTCTATTGTTATGCTGCCATCACCACCATCCATCTCTAGAACTTTTTCATCTTCCCAAACCGCAACTCTGAACCCATAAACACTAACTCTTCATTCCTCCCTCCCCCAACCCCTGGCAACCACCATTTAACTTTCCATCTCCACAACTTGACTACTCTAGGTACTGTATGTAAGGGGAATCATACAATATTTGTCTTTCTCTGACTGCCTTACTTCACTTAGCATAGTGTTTATAATAAGGGGCTTCCATGCTGTAGCATGGTTCAGAATTTCGTTTCTTTTTAAGGCCGAATAATACTCCATTGAATGAATGCCTTTTCACTGTCTACTTTTTGGAGCACTGGGTCCAGGGAGGTGGCAGTGAGGTGAGGCTGGATACAAAAGGGGTAAGGGTCACTGAGTGATCTGCTTAAAAGGACTCAAGGCATTCTTCAAATCACAGTTCTAATGGCATAAAGATATGGTAGAAATCCACAGGAGTCATGTGCCCTAAAGAACAGCTGACAAAACACATGAGGGACATCAGCCCTTCTGATCAAGAGCATTGCCTTTAGGCTGGGCTTCCTGACCCTAGGACAGCTCGTGGGGAGGACACAAATCCCAGCCCATATGCATGCCCTGATACAACACAGGCCAACTGATGCTGCGCCAGCCATCGTCAGTGCTACGTTAAGTAAAGTTATGGTAGTATTTCCCAAACTTCACTTAGTCACATACCAACTTCATGATTTTGCCATTTCTGAGTACCACCTGAGTTATTTACCATTTTTACTTATGTTGCCTCATTTTTAGAGTCAGTAAATTCATTTAAAGAGGAAACTTTACATCACATCCATAAGCCATTATTCTTTGTCAAAAATAGTTGACCAACATAACAAGAACAAATGAGAAGAGGAGCAAGGAGGTAGGTACTGTTCCCCGCTGGGCGGCTAGCCTAAGGCCTGCCTTCCCTCTGCGGAAAGGGACATGTGCAAATACTGAAACTGCTGGTAGCGGATGCAAGCAGCAAATGGAGTCACTTTCTCTGGCAAGTAATGACTTTCTCTTTTTAGAAAAAGAAAAGGGAAAACCTTCTTACTACTTGGTTCTCCAGCCACCTAAAGTCCTGTTTCCCCTAAGAAGATGTACCATACTTTGGCCAAACATGGCTTTATTGGGTCCTACGAGTACACTGGGATCATTTATTAGTTTTGAGGATGATGCTTTCCTTTTTATGGGGGAGAATAGGAAAAGACAAGAGCTATAAAAAGTAGGACATGGTCACTTTAAGGTGAAGACCAACTGTAAAGTACCATTGACAACTCAGTAAATTACTAACTCTACCAAACTATCTGATCTGCTCTGTGGAGTTGTCATCATCCATGTCACTTTTGTCCTGGTTCTAAGGACTGAAGTTTAGCCTCCTGTCCCTGTAGAATTCTGAGGGTTGAGGACACTGGGAATATACCTGGAGGCACTGACCTAGGAAAACCACTTCCTTTTCATCCTACTTCACAAGCAGAAGCAGCAACCACTAACATGCACTCTACAGTTTATGAAGTACTTTGCGTGCAAGTCACCATTTAATCCTGGGCACCACAAAGCAACTCACAGATGCATTTCTGTGGGGTCCCAGTGAAGGGGAGTATTCTTGTTCTCTTCCCCTCACAGAGCCTGGATTCAAACGGATATTGAGTGAATGTAGGGATAAATGAATGACAACTAATAGCCAGAAACCCCTCTTTACCCCCAAATTCTACTTAATTCATGTAAGTCCCTGACAACAGTGATAAAGTACCTGGAACAATATGCCAAATGCACATAGTTTAGTATTACATATTATTCAGAAGAGATGGATATTCTACATAAATACCAGCCTGAAAGGAAAACATGTGCAGTAAACAGATTAGCTATTAAATCAGAGGGACTTGTGCATATACCTCTCATACAGAATTTATTGTTCCAGGAGCATCTGTGCCTTAACAAAGCTGGGTTAGTAATGGCATGCAGTTAAGGCAGGGGATGTTAAAATGGTAATCATTAAAACAAGCTTCCTCCTGTAGTGCATGGTGAATTCAAATTTTCATTAAGACTGCAACAATAGGGAACAGTTAAGTAAATTATGGCACGCTAACTGGATGGAATATTAAGCAGCCATTAAAATGATAAATCTGAATAGCTACATGGAAAAGCATGTATGACATTATGCTAAATTAAAAAGTAAAATACAGATTGTTTATGTGTTGAGCAAACCGTATAATGTGGACTTTCTAAACAAGTCCCGGGAAATGTGAACAATGCCCCAAGGGAATTCTACTCCTTGCTGAGGAATTGTTAATAACATCACCACTTGCACACTTGGCCCATAATATCTAACCTCTGATGACAGTCATGTTTAAGTACAGATGTACGTGAATCAGAGGCCAAAAACCTGATACAGGAAACTGCTACTGTGTAGAGAAGAAGGGATTACTGCATAATTTTTTTTGAAAGTTGTTTTAAATGAATAAGGATGCTAGTAAAGAAAAAACGTAATTAAGACTGAAACACATGAAAGTAAATACAATTTAAAGCTCCTGTAAAGGAGCTGTGAGTGTTTTGGAAGCAGCTGCATTTCCCTGAGAAAATGCCCATTAGAGAGCATCTTTTCTCCCAGGAGAGGTTTGCCAAGAGCCCCAGGAAGTCAACGACCTTTGTGCCAGCCCAGCTCGCCATCTCCTGCCTAATGACCAGGCCATTCCTCCTTATTACTCAGACCGGTCTGTGATGGTGCAGAGACTGAGCTAATAGGGGAGCTTGGCACCATATGTTTTAAGTCACATGTTATCTGGACATCACCATCTATAAGTTCATGGAAAATGACCTTTAATATCAGCTGGCAGGCTGTGATTTCATGCCTCTTAGGCAGGGAACAGAAACATTAAATTGACAGGGTGGGGAATTCTGTTGTCCTCTGGAGTAGAAAGGTTCTCAAGTGGAACTACATGTGGGGAAAGAAACAACAAAAACAGAGCACTTTCTTTAGAACAGAGAATGTTAGGACTGGAAGGGACCCTGGGCACATTCACCAAGGGCACAGAGCCAGGTGAATGAGGCAGGTGTGGTGACCAAGGACTGAGGCCATGTGAAGAGGCAAGGGTCAGGGTGTTGGCAAACGAGTAGGGCATCATCTGGGCGGGGAACCGGGAAGGAGCTCGGCATAAACCAGGGGCCTCCTGAACGGATCTAACCAGGATTTAGAGCTCCTGAAGTCCACAGGCAACAAGCTGCCCTGCACTCCGGTGTCCACCACCTCCGTGCCTCCCAAATCCCCGCCCCCTTTCCTTTGCTTTGGCTGCCTGGAAGCTCAGAGTTAATTTTGATGCTTAACTTTAATAGCTATTTATGTTACCTTAGATACTGCATAGATTCAGTCACCCTTCCTTCTACAAGGATTCTGATTTCTATGATGAACAGCCTCATTAGATACATTTCTTTTTATTATGGACAGCCTCAAATCTTTAAGTTGAAAGCAGATGGACACATCTAAATGATAAAATACATTAACACTCTTTATGGTAAATATGTTTTACTAGTAAGAAGACTAGATGAAACCTTTTCTTTACCTCTTTATCTTCCCTTCAGGAAGGGTAAAAGGAGGGCAGTGCTTGGCTTCACTCTGGGAGACTAAGGCCGAGGAAATAAGTGTGCACCCCCGGCATACCCAGCCTCCTCCA